TCTTCCCTTGCTTATTTACTGTTACTTACGCTCGACATTTTTAACAAAAGTTTGCCAACAGACGCCGGACAGTTGGAACGACGGCTTCGAGCGTGTTGATGCGAAGGAGGGAGTACAGCTGAATCATCACATCCCTGTATCTGGGTAACAGCTCTGCATGCTTTGTGGCCTTTGCACGTAACGTTTCCACGCACGGTACGATTCGCATTATTTCCTTCAATTTCAGTATCTTGAGCAGTTTGCGAGTGACCTGCGAAACGAGTGTCACAAAAGAAATCGTTAAAAAATAATAATAAAAATACCTTGACAAGTTGACAACAACAAGAAAGAAAAAGAAAGAAAAAGAAAGAAAAAGAAAGAAATAAATGGATCATCAAACTACTGATGAATCCAAACAGCGCATGGAACAAGCTGGCACTGGACAGTATCAGATCCGTGGCCCCAATTCCCTCCCCAATATGTCAGGCCTGTTCTGGGTAATGAATAAAGAATGGGTGATAAACACAGGACGTAGGAACCGAACGAGGAATAACAGACTCAATGACCCCCGTCCGCCTACACCTTACTGCCCGGCATTACTCCGATCCTGGAGGAAAATAATTCCCAACAAGACAAACAGACCCAAATCCAAGGATGAAGTACTAAGGCAACCGCTCTTCGGGAATGAATGGATAAAAAACGAGGCGGACAACCCTCTCTTCCTAGAACAGAAATGGCTGTCCTGGATCAAAAACGGTATCTGGAAAATCGATCACTTATGGGTGGAAGATAGAAAGGGCTGGGTAACAGAACAAGAAGTCAACCCCCGATTGAAAGGCTGTCATAGACGAGGGACCAACCTCCAATACATTCTTAACTGCATTCCACAGGACTGGAAAGACATCCTGACAAAAGACGAGTCGTGGAGACCGGGTGAGTGGGGTCTGTTGATTCAAGAAACAACACCCCCGRGAGCCTTTCAATTTTCCCATTGGCAGCAAGGCTCACACACTARGGCCACTTTCCYCTCKTTCCCGATCTCCTCCTCCAATACGGGTTCGCCGAATATCCTAAATTGCGAGGTAGAGTCGCTGGTCTTAGAGTCCTTCTTACTTCGGAAAGTAAGGGTCCTAGGATCATGGCCGAAATCACTCTACAGGCCTGACACTTCAATCCGTAACTTGGAGTTTGATCCAGCTGAATGAGCGTGGCCGCCAAATAAGACCTGCAACATAAAGACCAGACTCCCAATTCAGGACTACACAGTCAAACTTGGATACAGACTGTCTCTAAAGACAAAAAATCCAGACCCTATTATCAAAAACAGATGGCGGAACCTCGTCGGGCAGGAAGCAGACAAAATCACACGGATCCACTGGGATAAGTTCAAACGTATCAGACCAATCAAGATTAGAGCCTGCAGTGGCTGATTGTGTACGAAGCCCTTCCGGTGAACCAATGGCTACATATCAGGAGGAAATCTACAGACCCCAACAACTCGGAATTATGTACAATATGCACTGAAGGTGTCGTAGAGGACATAGTTCACTGCCTGGTACACTGTAAAGAGGCTACGGAATACTGGGTCAAAGCCTCAACACTTTGGGACTCCCTCTTCTCCTCTCCCTTCCCCAAGCAGCCCATCTAACTCCTCCTCTTGACTAACATCCCTGTTCAAGCGCAAAAGGCAGAAAGGATCTGGTTTGAACTCATCAGGAAAGTGACTCTATGGGTCATTTGGAAGGAGAGATGCAGCAGGACAATTGAGGGGAGATCCAACCCACGGGAGAAGGTGTGGACAAAAACCAGATCGCTGATACAAGTCGAGATCCTCTGCAGATGGCGGAAGATAAAACGAGCTTGGACAGATGACGAAGAGCAACGTAACAAGGAAAGGCAGAAATTCCACAGGAATTGGTTGATAAACAGCAAGATTGCAGAATTGCGAGAGGACCGAATTTGCTGGAGGGAGTGGCATAACTCTGTCTCAGTAAGAGGCGTTAGCCAACCGGCAACTTCCCAGGGCATACTAGCATCCTAGACCTCGACAAAAGGAAAGGGACACGTCAAGGGCCCAGGGGACACGAACCGTGAGGAGTCAAGGGAGAGTTCAGGACCATTCTGCCCAGGGTTGAATCTGGGAGCATAAACAAAAGAAGGGTTTTGGGTTTAAGGGTTTTTAGAAATCCTCCAAAAGGGACAGAGAGGTGTGTCGAGAAGTTACAGCCCGGCAAGGCCTCCGAAGGGGTTCTGTTTAGGGATAAGGGTGCAAAGGTAAGAGAGACAGTGGAAGACAGACCTAGCTCTACCAGTAATTCACACAGATTTGACAGCCTTACAGCTGAGAGGCAGAACTAGGGAAGCCCAGATAGTTCAACAGACAGACACCATAACACTGAGCTCACAACTCCGGTGAGGCTTTACAAGCCCTAGGTTACGTCAAGAGGCTAACTTAGGCAGGGGTGAATGATCGTTCATCCTTCCCACGGGAAGTAATCAATGCCGTCCTTCGGGCTTCCTACCATAAAGGCTGTCTCTTATACACATCTAGATGTGTATAAGAGACAGGAATGCACCTGGTTTCTTGTATCGTGTGAATTCTTTCAATGATATGATTTGATTGTTTGGCATGTGTGTACTTGTGAGCGTACTTTGCGCTGACTACAACTTGTTTGTAATTTGAATTCTACAACTACAACAACTTTGCAGGTTTTCTCAAATTTCTTGGTTTGTTCTCAGACTCTCTCAGGTGAAGCCGGGTATCGGTCCCGGTATTTCAGTGCTTGTAATTTCATATGAGACACTGGGCCTGGTTCCCAGCACGTGCTGCGCACCACGAATAGATTGGATCTTTTGTCCCCGAAAAAAAAAATTAAAAATAATTGCCAGCCACGACTCTCGGGAAGTACCGGGGTGCCGTTTCGCTGGACATCCATCCAGGCAAAACGGGCCTTGCATGCGACCCGCTTTGCCTGGATGGATGTGCCACGAAGCAGCGCCGTGGCACTTCCTGCGATTCGCGCAGCATGCAAACGATGACTTTGATTTTCAGCACCCTTGGCCACAACAGCCAAGTCTCGTAAACCACAGTATGTTTCCCAGCCAGAAAATCAAAGTCGTGACGTGCATGCTGCCACAGCTCTCGAGAAGTACCAGGGTGCTGTTTCGCTGGACATCCATCCAGGCAAAACGGGCCTCACATGCGGCCCATTTTGACTGGATGGATGTGCCGCGAAAAGGTCCCCCGGCACTTCCCGAGAGTCGCGGCAGCACACAAACCGCGACTTCCCCCGGCACTTCCCGAGAGTCGCGGCAGCACGCAAACCGCGACTTAGACTTTCTAGCTGGGAAAGGTACTGGTGGATTAACCAGTACAGCCAGGACACGGTGTTTAAAAGCGGAACCATACCAGTCGTGATATCGAACCCACTCGTGCAAAGGTGTAGCGTCCAGCTCGACACACACGACACACGACACCATACCGACACTGCAATTCTCGCACAAACCGAGGGAGGAATTAAATTACAGATTCCATAAGGAGTAGATGCTTGTGCCTGAGCATAATCTATTTTATGATTTTTTATCTGAGAACACAATGTGATGCACAGCTGGAAAGTGTTATTGACGAATTTCGCTTTTCAAAGCTGCAAAAACATCTTTTTATTTAAAATCATTTCCATTATCAAAAATTGTACAAGCCGGGAAACGGGACCGGCGTCAGAAACATCACTCGAAACTTGTTCAACAAAGCATTTTATTACTGAAAGATGGGGAACAACTGAGAGCGCTTTATTTTTTTTTTGGGGGGGGGAGGGGCGGCGGAGGTGGGGGAGGACACTGTGTGACTGTGGGCAAGGTTTGAAAGAGACTCCGGTGTTTTTCAACCAAGCATCCTTTTTTATTTTTCTTTTTTCTTTTTTTTAAAATCAACCAAGCATCCTTTTGACTGAAATGAGTAAACTTGCTCTCCCCCCCTCCCTGCCGTCCAACGGTCCTTCCCACACCAAGGACACGCAGGGTCCCATCCGGTTCCGGCCTTTGAAGGCCCAAGGACATGGCACAAAGTTGTACGGTGGTTCAACACGTGGCTGCCAGAGATCACACATTGGCAGGGCCTGTAAAGAGTTTTGCATCTTTGAGGGGCAAATTGGAATCCACCGCACATTTGAGAGGCGAAGTAGAAATTTCCCAGATGTAGCACTCAAGGATGGTACACACATCTACCTGTTGATATTTATGACCCCCTCGTGTCCTCGCCCCCTCACCCCATCGCCCTCTTGCCCCTCAACCCTTCAACCCCTCAACCCCTCACCCCTCAGTGCCCTCACCCCTCAGTGCCCCCACCCTTCACCCCCTCACCATTCACCCCTCACCGGTCACTCCTCGCCCCCTCGCCCCCTCTTGCCCCCTCCCCCTCTCTCCACCTTTTGCTATCCCTTGCCCTGGTTTTTGATCTGAGGCGCAGCAGTGGCTGGCCTCCGCTTGTCCTTTAGTAATAACTCACCTTTTCACACTGCTTCCAATGCGCAATCTTGCAGCATCGAGATTTGAATGCAGGCGAAGGCTCGTCCTCGATCCCATCATGCTGCTCAAACCTCCTTCCAGGCTCACACCTCCTCTCGCAAGTGCCAGTTGACGGCACAACCTTCAGGGAACCACATGTTCCCCCTCGATAGTCTCCAAACTTCTCCTGACATCGTGTGACGCTATCCTTCAAGACGTCCCTTCGGGGGCTCGTCCAGCGATTGCCACCGCTGTTGCACTGCTCTGGGCACAATCGACGGCTGTCGCATTCTCTCATGAACGCTCCGCACCCTCCACAGTCCGTATTTCTGAACGGCTCGCAACCTGTGCGCCAACCAGGGTCCCTTGGTGGGATTTGCTTCGTGCCAGGGCACCTTAGGTTGATGTCATCAAGAAATGGAGAGCCTTGGGCATGACAGTTGGGTACAACACCACTCTGCCACAAGTGGTCGAAAAAAATGAGGTAGCACTGGCTGTTAGATCTCCGCAAAGC